ACCATTCAAGTTTGGTCCTTCCAAAGGGTCATCCGATAAATCTGAGGGATTGTGAGATTAATGGAGAAAGAAAAAGACACCAAACCACCAGATCTAAACAGTGGATGGTAAAAATGTGGCTTCAAACTGGATAAAAAGTCAAATGTATGACAGCTTCTGACAGACAACCACAATGCTGAATTGTAGGATTTAGTGGCATCTACCAGGGAAGTTTCAGATTGCAACTAACTGAACACCACTCGTGTCTGTATTTGATGTCCTGGGAATGAGAATGGGTTGTGAAGTGTGAAGGAGAAACTACGGTGGCTGCGAAAAGCAGAAGAAGGCCCTATCTACAGCTTGTGCTTGGTTTGTCCTTTCTGATTATACACTAATGAAAACATACCTATGAATATTATATTCAATTTCTGACGATCGATCCTCCTAAATATTACCATATATCCTCTGGATGGCCTCTGTCTCTAGTTTGTGGTTGTACAGTTTTATGAGGCTGTAGCTACAGCCTCTGAAAGACAGTGCGGAGTGGAAGAGGTAAGGATAACCCCAGGTCCCCCGTCTGGACACACCCTTGGTTACAGTGCACATATCCAGTTAAGCTACCGTCTTCTCACAGATCCAGCGATTCCTGACACTACAGTTGAAGTCGTTCAGGCCAATGAAATTAATCATTGTACGAATGTCGCCGCAGTCTTCTCCGCCGTATGCTCCATCGGGCTGCCCCAAGGCCCACCGCAACCTGCAGACAGAAACGGTACACCAAATTGATCATTAATTGCATCACAGCATCTGCCATCAGTGTATTGATTGATGTGTTATAAAGTGACGGGAGGAGCCGGGGATTGAACCAACAACCTTTTGATTAGTGGACTACCCGCTCTGCCTCTGAGCCACAGTTGCCCTTACTAGCCTATACAACTCTTCTCGAACTCTGTTGATGGGCTTTGCGTGGTGGCTGGTCTAACCCCATCACAACTTGGTCTCTAGTTTCATTTTACAACAGCCTTAAACTTTAAAAAAAAAAAACGTTAACTTAAAAAAAGAAATTGTAGCAAATCAGTCACACAGAAGAGGGATCTTTAGCAACTGCATCTGTCATCTGTGTGAATCTTCTCTCATTCACCTCTGCCACAATAAGCTATAATGCAAACTGAATAACACACATCCTAGATCAACAATTCATTTATTTCTATAAGATATCTCACTCGTCTTTGTTCACTGGTGTTCCATCCACCCAGACCCAAGTCCCTTCCTTCTTCCTGTCAGTCATACCGACCCATGCTGCCTCTGTGAATCCGGTGAGGAAGGCCTGTCATGAACAACAGAAAACAAAGGAACTACAGTATCACACAATGTCCACTGAAATATTCTATGTCCTTACCTTGCAGTGGTGTAATATAAAACTACCTGCTCCTGTATGCTGTTGATGATGACCAGGTCAGCGTGCCTCTGCAGGCAGTCCTGCCGGCTGTCGTCCCAGCTCTTCCCCTGCCAGGAAATGTAGTAACAGCTGGAGCCGAACGTCAGCCAGTCCTGTGGACAGCTCTCTTCCTCTGTCTCACCTAAACACAGACAAAGACAGCATGTCCCAACATAGCATTTCATAATCTATACTACAACATATGGACAGAATGATGGAACAGAAAACAGGAAGCTGCACGGGAACACAACAAGGTACAAAGCTAAGCTGCTGAAAATCACTAATCTGTTCTTGTAGGGTGCGTTGACTTAAATTAAAATAGAATTTTAATCAAACTTGGCCCTGGCCCTTTACATTTCACCATTTCAGTGTGCAACGTATCACACAGAATATAATTCTTGTCAGGGTGGTAAATTGCATTAAACAGTATATTGTACATTGTAAAAAAGATTTTACAGTGAAAAACTGTCAAACCATGACAGTAAAAGACTGTAAACCTTAAATAGGTTAAATGCAGTTTCTGTTACAGTAAAACATTGTCATATCTCATGGCAAAACCTTTATTTATGCAGAATAAATTAAAGGAATTTACATGGAACAAAGTAGTTTGTTTTATATTACAGACTGTAAATTGCCTCAGTCATTTCTCATGATAAAACAGCTTCTGTTGATGGTAAAAACTTGTATTTATACGGTAAAATATGGAATAAAACTCCAACTTAGAATCAACAACACTAATTTCCTTTTCCCATAATAGTACCGTATTTATTCCAGTAAAGTTCGGGCAACCACAGCTGCACAAATGGACAGATAAAGCTCCACTGGTGGCCCCGGTAATGATATTCGATATGATAATTTTACATGGATTTGTTTGTTAATTGAAAGAAATCTTGTATAATTATGGACGTTTTCACATCAAATGATCAATGTATTAGCACTGGTGAACTGTCAAAATACAGTTGTTATCACTGAAAACAGCAATGATTACTGTAATTCCACAGACGGTGACTTTTATTACAGTTCTGTAACTTCTACAATTCAGATCAAAATAAGAAAAATCCAATCATAACAGCACTCTTCTGTATATTTATTATAATAGTGTCATGTGTATATATCTAATATTTGAAAAACATTGAAAAGCCCAAAAATATGTATTTTAAGTACAAGTCAGTTATTTCCTGTTATTTTGAAGGGAGTTGTCTGTCTACCTTTGTCAGTGGGCTCACTCAGAGAAAGTCTCAGGGAGATGTTGAGAACCCCTTGAAGAACACAGAGCAGGCCAAAGCTCAGCAGAACCACACTGACATGTCTTAACTCTGTATAACACACACACACAGAAGATTTTAGCAACTCAATTCTTGTCCTGTTAATCAAAGAACACATCTGGTATTTGACATAAACACTAAAACCAACACCTCAACCCACTTAAACAATCAGAATGGTCATTGTGTTATAAAATGTTGAAATAATCTCATGTGTACTCACTTGGTTTTGGAGTCCTCTCTGCAGCAGCATCCTCAGGTTCAGGTCTGGGGGATTCCTGATACTCGCCAAGTGCAACGTTGATATCAGACTCACTGGAGTGAAAGAACACAGCCATTTTGAAACTGCTGCAGTGAGAAGGTGTGTTTTATGTCTGATGTTGTGCAGCACTTGTTCCTGTCTCTTGTGGACAGTAAGTATTGTCCCCCCAAGTGTTTCAAATAGACACATTTGTTCCTTTTTTTTGTGTGGCTATATTTATTAAAGAGAATTGAATGAGTATAAGAAAAAGTTCTGGTTTCATTCTTTTTGACAAAACATTTGCTTACAATTCAGTTACTGAAGGATCTTCAAATCTTTACAGAATAGTATTGTGATAAAATGTTAATTAGTTCTGTGTGTAGTTGAAGAATAGATGCTTGGTGCATTTATGATTTATATTACAGAGAGCCCTTTATAGATTAAATTACATTTTACAAGTCCAGTGATGTCTTTAGTAAGTTTCCCCATTTTCATTTGATGTTTGGAAAATCAGAGAAGTCACTGTTTTGATGACTTGCAACTCGATTTGAAAATGTGTGTGTACCATTTAAGAGGTCAGAAATTGAATTTTTCAATATAATTTTCAAATATATTCATTAGTGTATAATCACCTGAAAACAAGAATACTTGTGTTTTTGTTACCTTAAAATGATCTGTTTTTATCTACAGATCCTGTAAACCATGTTTTCACAGTGGCCTAGAAGGGACAATCAAAACACTGGCATTATGCAGCCACCATCCAGGGAGTTGTAATCTGCATCTATACCGCTGGATGCCACTAAATTCTACACAGAGGAACTCGTGTATTATACATTACAAGTATTAAAACATGAAACATTAAAAATGTGTTGTAATGTGATGTTGTAATGTAGCAATGTTGACATCACAAGTGTCTGTTAGAGTCTGTATATGTCATCTGATAGATCCATATGAAGCTCTTTTTCTGGTATATAATGCAAAGGGCTGTTTAGCTATTATTTCAATTATTCTTTAAATTCTGAGTGTTTATTTCTATAACTGGTTGACAATGTAACCAATGTAAAATTACTTAACATGAAATATGTAACTTTAATATCCTTTGATGTCATTTGTTTTAGAAAGCAGCCTTCTGAGTACCTTTCAGCTGGGAATGAAACATAGGGATTTGGGTTTCCTTACGGAACTATTCAAA